ACTCACATACAGACAGACGCACACATACAGACAGACAGACACACTCACATACAGATAGACGCACACATACAGACAGACACACACACTCACATACAGACAGACAGACACTTACAGACAGACAGACACACACATACAGACAGACAGACACTTACAGACAGACACACACATACAGACAGACAGACACTTACAGACAGACAGACGCATTCAGACAGACAGACAGACAGACAGACATACATACAGACACACACACACTCGCATACAGACAGACAGACACACACACACATACAGACAGACAGACACACACACATACAGACATACAGACACACATACAGACAGACATACATATAGACAGACACACATACAGACAGACAGACAGACAGACACACACACAGACAGACACACACTCGCATACAGACAGACAGACACACACACTTACAGACAGACAGACACACACACATACAGACACTCGCATACAGACAGACACACACACATACAGACAGACACACACTCGCATACAGACAGACACACACACAGACAGACAGACAGGACATCCTGTGCTCTGTCTTGGATCTGAGGAGTGCTGGATAAATTCAGTCCAGACAAGGTTCCTGTGAAGCTCCTCACAAACCTGAATCTACCATTCACACTCACACACGTGCACTCACAGGAGCACTCTCACATACTTTTATCCAGCATTTTGGAGGGAAATTCCAACTGGGTTCATCCAGCCAGCAGACCTCCCACTCCAGCCAGAAGACCAGAGATGCAGCCCCACCCCCTCCTCCTCCTTGTCCTCCTCCTCCTCCTGTCCTCCTCCTCCTCCTTGTCCTCCTTCTCTCAGTCATTCATGTGGATCATGTCCATCTGGTGTCTGGGCGTTGTGACCTCTGACCTGCTCCAAAGTGTTTCCATTTTTCCCTCAAACATAAAAAACATTTCATTGTTCTTAAATGTAAAGTTTAATTTGTGGCAGGGTTGAAGCATTTAGATTTGTCATGTTTTCTAAATAGATTTCTTTAAACTCGACACAGTTTCAACAACAGACCTCATTTAGTATGTGGATGTGTATGTAAGTGTTTCCAGGAAACATTTACCAGATGCTAAATGTTTTGGGTTTACATTATTTTGATAGTTTGCTTTTAACCCTCAGAAGGTCTCATGAAGAAAAATCAGCCATGCATTTTATTAGTGTGCATGATTTTATTTATTTATTTGTTTTGCTGACCTGTTTTTTTTTTTTTTTCTGACAAAGCCTAAAAATATACTTTTTTTTTCTTATTTTGTCAGAATTTTTTTAAATTCTCTCATAATCTCCATAACTTTACTAGACTCGTGTTCCTGAGGGGAAAATCCACCACAGGGAGATCCCATTATAAATGCATTTTCTGGGTCCATATCTTGTAAAATTTTTATTTGACCTCTATCTTTACATTTTACATTTTTACATTAGCTCTGCTTTTTATGTTTGAGAGCCTCTGAAAAAATGTACTGGAACAAACTTCAGCTCACCCCAGAAGAGCTAAGTCTTCCCGGCTAGTTGATTTTTGCTTCATCATTTTAATTTGGATGTAAAGAGCAAAAACTGGTGGCACAGTTGGTAGAGCTGCCGCCTCTCAGCAAGAAGGTCAGTGGATCAATTCCGGCTGAGGTCTTTCTGGGTGGAGTTTGCATGTTCTCTCTGTGCATGTGTGGGTTTTCTCCAGGTACTCTGATTTCCTCCCACAGACCAAAAACATGCACGTTAGTCTGATTGGTAACTCTAAATTGTTCCTAGGTGTGAGTGAGAGAGTGAATGGACGTTTGTCTCTATGTGTCCCTGTGATGTACTGGAGTGGAGACCTGTCCAGGGTGTCCGCCGCCTCTCACACAGTGGATATGGACACCAGTGACCCCTGCGACCCAAAATTTAAGAATCGGGTAAAAGATAACGGATGGGTGAATGGTTGGATAGATGGATGCATGGAACAAGCAAAAACTCGCATGTTTCACAAGTAAACATTTAGTAGAATAAAGCTGCTGCGCATTAATGCAGGCTGCAGAATTGGGACGCCCCGCAGCTCCGACGGTTGACTCTCGTTGGACGTCACACAGCCATCACTGCAGCAGCTTGGCAATATATCTATCCATCCATCCACAAGGCCTCATTTCAGCTGCAGTACCTGAAGGGTCCTTACAGAACTCCAGACTGGCATAAAAAATAAAAACAGTCAAAAATTAATTTTGGACGTACTAATAGGGGAAAATGCCTTTTTTAGTCAATATATATGTAAGTATATTTTCTTTCAAAAATGGTCATAAAATAATATTTTTTTAAATTGAAAAGATACATTTTTTTAATTAAAGGTCCTTAAAGAGTTAAAATGTTAAACAAATCATTTAAGTTTAATATTTTATATCATACCAAGATCACTCTTAAAGACTAGCTCATTTTTTGTGAAAGAGCAACATGAAATGAGTGTTTTTATGGTGGAGCGTTCCTCGAAGGAACACTCATCCTGTTAAAGTTGGCGCCTGCTGAGGTTACACGTTGAGTTCTTCTCTCCTGACGTGCAGAGCTCGCTCTTCTTGTGTTTCTGAAAACAACAAGGATTTTGGTTTTGTTCTGAGCGTAAATCTTGTCTAAAAAAAGATAAAAAGGAGTTTATTGAGCTGCAGTTAAAAACTTCCAGGAAGGTCAGTGGAGTGAAAGGAAGGTAAGATGAGACAAAGAGAGGAAGAGGGGGGCTGGGGGGAGGAGGAGGAGGAGGAGGAGGAGGAGGAGCATCCAGGGTCAGCGGGGGAAGGAAATACATACCTCAGTCCTCTCAGAGAACCATCTGATGGACCAGGGGGAGGAGAAGATCCGACTCGGAGCTCTCAGAAAGTTCTGAAGTTGTTTAAAGTGTGCAGAACGTGAAGAAGACGAGGAAGAAGAGTCTGAAACTCCAAACTGAAGCAGAAGGTGATGTCGTTCCACCATGATGTCATCAGGATAACACCCAAATGACGCCACTCCTGTCCAGTCAGAGCTGTCCATGGGGTTTGACCGATCTTAGCCCCTGACTGGCTGTGACAGTAGGCGGGGTCTCATCATCATGGGGAGCTACCTGCTTTCCTGGGGAGGCGGAGCCCTGGAGGACAGGGACATGTATGCTCCGCCCTACCCAGCTGTGTACAGGTGAGTACAAAGAATAAATCTGAGGACATTAACTGTCCTGTGGGACAGATGAGGGGGACGCAACCTCAACAGCTTTCTGTTGTCATGGTAACCCAGGAAACACCTGAGCATCAGTCAGGGGTTAACGCGGTGAAGGTTTCTTTCTGTGCTTCGTTCATCAGATCATAGAGGTCCTGCAGTTGGTCAGATCTCCAAGCTGAAGCTTTGTGTTCCAGCCTGTCAAAGATTTTTATAAATTTATTTATTTTCAGCCTCAGGATCTACATCTCATGTTCATGGAACCTGTCAAAAACCTGAAAGTGGGTTTGATGTGTCCGACACTGAAGTACAGATCAGCTCATATATAT